GGTCGGGGCATCGGGATTCCCGACGCCGTGGGACTTGGTCCCTAGCGCGCCGGGAGCTGAAGTCCCTCCTGGGAGAGCTGGCATCAGGCAGAACTGCGGGATGTGGGAGGGGAAGTCGATTGTCCCGACCGCGAGCCTGACACATTAAATGCCTCTTGGCCGTGGCTTTAAGCTTTTTTTCCGCGAAGCGTTAATAAGATTTTTAACGGAAGGGATGGGTTCTTGTTTTAGTGGACGTTTGCCCAAGAACCGACATCGGGTGTGCTGAAACGTGGGGGCAACATCGATACGAGTCTCCTGCAGGCGAATGCGTTCCAGTGTAGACGCACCAAAGTAGAGGCAGTTGTGGTGTGTTGGTACAGGCGGTTGCGTTTCTTAGAAATAAAACGAAGCATCACCATGGTGGGCTTTTGCTTATCCACCAAATTTGATAGGAGTCGTAGAAAATCCACAGGAGTATGTGAGCAAATCAGTGTGGGCGTGGCAAGGCTTCTACTTCAGTATGTGCTTGAGCATTACAAGACTTCAGAGAATCAGCACAGAAAAGCCTTACAGGTGTCCCACCAGCACAGGCACCTTACAGCAGTACTTCAGACAGTCTTTTTTAACCCCCAAAAGCACTCTTCACAAAACAGTGTTCTGGCATCTTTTGCCCCTCATCCTTCTGACTTACTAAACTGCTATAAATCAAGGACAGGGTTTACAGAATGCTTATATTTTTAGTCAATTTTACCAAGTTGTACTGGTCCGTCCCGCGGGGCCCCGCCCGGGCGGTGCTGCTGCTCTGGGTCGGGGCATCGGGATTCCCGACGCCGTGGGACTTGGTCCCTAGCGCGCCGGGAGCTGAAGTCCCTCCTGGGAGAGCTGGCATCAGGCAGAACTGCGGGATGTGGGAGGGGAAGTCGATTGTCCCGACCGCGAGCCTGACACATTAAATGCCTCTTGGCCGTGGCTTTAAGCTTTTTTTCCGCGAAGCGTTAATAAGATTTTTAACGGAAGGGATGGGTTCTTGTTTTAGTGGACGTTTGCCCAAGAACCGACATCGGGTGTGCTGAAACGTGGGGGCAACATCGATACGAGTCTCCTGCAGGCGAATGCGTTCCAGTGTAGACGCACCAAAGTAGAGGCAGTTGTGGTGTGTTGGTACAGGCGGTTGCGTTTCTTAGAAATAAAACGAAGCATCACCATGGTGGGCTTTTGCTTATCCACCAAATTTGATAGGAGTCGTAGAAAATCCACAGGAGTATGTGAGCAAATCAGTGTGGGCGTGGCAAGGCTTCTACTTCAGTATGTGCTTGAGCATTACAAGACTTCAGAGAATCAGCACAGAAAAGCCTTACAGGTGTCCCACCAGCACAGGCACCTTACAGCAGTACTTCAGACAGTCTTTTTTAACCCCCAAAAGCACTCTTCACAAAACAGTGTTCTGGCATCTTTTGCCCCTCATCCTTCTGACTTACTAAACTGCTATAAATCAAGGACAGGGTTTACAGAATGCTTATATTTTTAGTCAATTTTACCAAGCTGTACTTTTTTAAAAATATTTTTTTCATTAACATGCAGTGACTCTTCTTTCTCAGAATGACAGGAACAGATGTGTTTGGAATTACTGTACCTCTTATTACCAGCACTACGGGAGATAAACTGGGAAAGACAGCTGGCAATGCAGTTTGGCTGAACAGAGATAAAACTTCTCCATTTGAGCTGTATCAGTTTTTTGTCAGACAACAAGATAATGTAGTTGAAAAGTAAGTAGTTTTCCTTTGTCTTGCTTTTTGTCATTGTTCATAGAACCTGATCATAACTGTTCTCTGTAACTGTTTCGTGTGGATATGTGCAACATGAGCTCCTTGTAGGTGGCTGTATTAACTGAAATCCCATGTTCATAAAATAAACAGGCATAACTGGTTCATAAGTATACAGGGTAGAGGAACCTTTCTCCATATGGTGGTACATGTATCATCAGATTAGAATGTGGATGAACAAAGAAGCAAAGCACAGCGCATTCTGGGGTGACTTTATCTTACGAGGTACAAACTTACAGTACCGTAGCTTTATTCAGGGCATTATGTTAAGTTTAATAACTTGCTGCATGTTCTCTTTTCAGTCTACTTTTCTTTAAACTCCAGTATCACTGTCAAATCTGAGTTTTCATAAACCTCAGATCGGTAATTCCCTTTCATATTGTGGCCTGTTTCATAACTTTGTTACCACTTTCAAAGGATAATGTCCTGATATTTCAAAGTTAAGTTCTGCACCACACTTTTCAGACTGGTAAGAAGAGTGTGTGGGTACCTAGCATTAAAATGCCTCACGCGTTCAGACTTTGTAACAGTACAAGTACCTTTTTAATACACTGCATATCATACTGCTGCAAGCCTACTAAAAAGGACTATGCTTAAAGACACACCTTTAAATTCTTGATTATTCTAATCATGTTCCTGTTGAGAATGCGTAGCATACTTCTGTCACCACAGAATGGCACTGGCATTTTGCATTAGCATGTTGTGCAACTACTAAGAATATAACACAAAACCCTGTTAGTTGACACAGTTGAAATCCTGTAAAACAAATATTTGAAGAGAAACCGAGTTGTTGATGGAAATACAAGCTTTATATATTATTTGACACTATCTTGTATCTGAAGACATTACCCTAAGTGGGATATTAAATAACGTGAGCCATCCTGGTTAAACTGAAGCATGTGAGCAAAAGCAAAGAGTTGTTTGGAAGGACAGAGTATCTGTAATAAGAATTTCTTAAATGGATTAAGAATCATTTTAACATAGTTAATGAAGTTGGAATGTTAAAGGCAGGAAATCTGGAAGGATGGATATAGACAAAATACTCTTTTCCTTGCTTGTAGATACCTGAAACTCTTCACCTTCCTTCCTCTTGAGGAGATTGATCACATCATGGAAATGCATGCTAGAGAACCTGAGAAATGGGGCCCCCAGAAGCGACTTGCTGCAGAAGTAACCAAGCTTGTTCATGGTAGAGAGGGGCTAGAATCTGCTAAGAGGTGAAGTCTGATTTGCTGCGTAGTTTTCTTTCAGATTTATTCAGTGGTAATTATCTATAGCTTTTCAGGGACTATTTCCACTTAGGTTGTTGCTCAGCTATTCAAAGAGAAAGATACAGTCATTCTGTAGACTTAAAAATACAGTAAGAATATTAGAAAAATTGCAGTGCAGTGGATTATGTTAAAAAAAATTGGTTTAATTGAAATGCTTCTGTTACTGTATGGACCCTCAGAAGAAGCTGGGGAGGGAAATCCGATCAGTTGAGTAGCACTTTGAAGATGAGACTAGCACTGCATTTTGAATCATCTTTCTTCTCACAGGTGCACCAAGGCCCTTTATTACAGCAGCCTGGAAGCACTGGAAGCTATGTCTGACGAGGAGTTACAGGAACTTTTTAGACAAGCTTCTTCAGCTGAATTGATGCTTGAACCTGGAATGAGTATTCTTGACTTGTGTCGCAAAGCAAATGCCATTCCAGATGGACCCAGTGGGTATGTTATCACCTGTGCTCTTCAGTATTACCTCATGTAAACAGGTTGTAGTGGTATGCTTTCAGAAGTTAAACAATTAGGACAGCCAAATCAAGTAGAAACAGGCTAAGAATCTACATACCAGCATTAAAGAGGAGGGGAGCAGGCAGCCTCGTTCCATTTTTAAGTGTAGGATAGTGCAGTCTTATGTACCTTAGCTCTAAAATCTACACATGATGAAGGGACAGTCTAAGGCAACAGCCCGAGTTTTCTTACACCTCTCAGAAAGAATGGGAGAGGTCGTTAATTTCAGTCACTCTTGACCTGGACTGAAAGTAAAGTGCAAGAGAATGAAAATTTACTCAATTAGGGATCCAACCGAAAAAACCCTAACTGAACTTTCAATACTTAACAGAAATAAATAGCTGCTTCTTACAATTACTACTTGTTGTCTTTCTTGTAGGTACCAGAAAATTACAAATGGTGGAGTTACAATAAATGGGATTCGAGTAACAAATCCTGAGACTGTTCTTATTCTCGGACAGCATATTCTCAAGAATGGAGTATCATTGCTTAGGATTGGAAAGAAAAATTACTACATTATAAAATGGCTGCAGTTGTGACAACAAAGCATTTCCCTAAAACAACATATCCTTTCGACTGTTGCTCAAAGAAGTACTTGAAGATGTTTCTACACTGTGCATTACTACGCAGCTCACAGATGTATTCTTAAATATACCAACAGAGTTCAAATAAAGGCAGCTAAGTTACAACACTGAAGAGATTTTTAGGAACTTTATTTGAAGCACCATTTAGAAGAGGATATGCACAAGAAGATGAAATTAATTTCAAGGTCCAAAGATGGAGAAGGTCTTCCCTTCCTTTAACAACCTTCTGCATTGCAGAACAGTAGCCAGGTACTTTACAACATAATGCACAGCAAGATGAGCAAAAGCAGACTCGAAACCAGGACTTCTTAGAGAGGATGCATGCCTCTGTCCAGTTTGACTTCATGCTAACAGAGAAACCTGCATCAGTGGGTAAGGACAACCAACCTACTATCAACTTTTTTTTTTTTTTCTGAAGAGGATATGCACAAGAAGATGAAATTAATTTCAAGGTCCAAAGATGGAGAAGGTCTTCCCTTCCTTTAACAACCTTCTGCATTGCAGAACAGTAGCCAGGTACTTTACAACATAATGCACAGCAAGATGAGCAAAAGCAGACTCGAAACCAGGACTTCTTAGAGAGGATGCATGCCTCTGTCCAGTTTGACTTCATGCTAACAGAGAAACCTGCATCAGTGGGTAAGGACAGGTTTGCTCTGAAGGAAGCTACAGGAGATTCACAATAAAGGAGTTGAATGATTAAGCCCCAATATGTAAGCTTCTTATTGGTTATGTACTGGGCCACATTGCAAAAATGCTTTTTAGCCTTTGTGTGATAAAACAGCAAATTCACTTCTTGAAATGTAAAAGAGTATCTTTCAATAGTGTCTTTCAAAGCTTATGAATCCCTTTTGTGCCTTCTGTGTGCTTACTGTGGCTTAACATGTGGGTGACACTCATGCTTCTTCAGTCCAGTGAATTAGAAGGATACATCTGTGCTATCTAGAGTCTTTATCGAAGGTATATCCTGGCCCGAGTTTGTGGGCTCTCCAGTCAGTTGCAAGATCGTATATTACATCAGAAGATTTGAAGCATGTACGTGGAAGCTTTTTTAAGGTGAAAAAGCAGCACAAGGGTATCTGGACCAGGAAACATGAGACGCTATAGTGCTTTTGCAATGAAAAAATTCAGACCCTTCAGACAGGGCCATATGCAAAAGCTGCATTTCTTCATGGAAGAGCAGAAAATGATCCTACTGCTGATCGCCCAGCCAACATTTTGGATCCTAGCTTCATTTTCTTGCAATGACAGCAGAAAAGTGAGAATCTATGTTGAGAGTTGGTAGAATAGCAACATCTACGTTTAAAGGTAGATTGCTTTATTGCTCTGAAACACCTCCATCCACAAAACAAGCATGGAGCACACCACCTTGGTAAAGTTGGTTCCCATGATGCAGTTTGGGATTGGATTGTATAGGTGCCACAGTACTTACAGCCAGGTCCCTGAACAACAAAAACTCAAACCCCAGGTGGCTACCAAAATCATTTGTAGTACAAGCCCATATTTTAATTACTTAGAATTGGTTCAGTGGCTTGGACTACAGTAATGTACCTGGATGACTCCAAACTTTTTTATTAAGGAATCCTCCCTGTCCCAGTGCAAACACATATGAAGTCCTTTATGAGCTGATTGATTAGTGTGACTTTGGGGCGTGGCTGCAGTGTTGTTTTCATTGTTTAGGGTTTTGCAGTCACAGCAGCCACAAGGGAAGAGGCCACAATCTTGGCTGCCTGAGTGTGGTAACTCATCACCATCTCTTTGGTTGTTAAAGTCAGTCATGGTATTAGAGCTGCTTTCAAACTACCTAGCCTACAAGAAGAATGAGGAAACTCAGGAATCTAGGTATCTTATAGTTGCATGGGGAGTTTTTTTCTGTAGGTGGTTTAATTTTTTTTAGTTCATTGGATGTTCATCAACTTGATGCTGGCTTGATTTGCCTGTTAATGTTTCAACGGTAATAAATTATAGTGGCTTGCTGCTTATATTTCACAGTTTCCTTAGATTATTCAACTATAATCGGGTAGCACTTTCAGTAGCTTACTACATGGAGTTTCAGTTTCTAGATCCCATTTACTTGCCTGATAATGAGATCTCTCAATCTCTCTTATATAAAGTAGTTGAGTCATTCCTACCTTAAAAAAGGCTCTAAGGATCCTGTTAGCTTTCAGGACTACTTTGTGTTGCTTGTTACTTTGCCTTAAGCTGCAGTGATGATCAGCTCTATCCTAGAGAATGCATAAGGAGGAAAAAGCACAGCTTTGATATGCGAAGGGTAGAAAAAGGGAAACAAAAGTAAAGTGGGAAACTAAAGACAGAAACAAAAGTAAAGTGGGAAACGAAAGTAATGTTAATCCACTTAACATAGTTGCATTGTTCCTTAAATGGCAGAAGCATTAAAGCAATACAGAAACATGCACCTGGGAACAAATATACCAGTACACACCCATGTTGGCCTCCAGATAAAACAGATCAGATTTGACAGGTACTTTCTAGTTGTAGAAAATAAACTAGTAGAGTAAGCCATGTTTCATGTCACCCTCCTGCCTTTTTCCTTTAATCTGCAAATGGTGAAGATACACAAACATCCACAAATTTCAGCCTTTTTTTTAAAGCATTAGTACCCACTTTGTTCGAGTATTAAAAGGTTTTTATTTATTTTTACAAATACAAAATAAAAAAGGGAATTAAATTCTTTGCATACAAGATTTTAATAAGATCCATAAACGCCAAGAAGTTTAGTCTTTGCTTCCTTTTGACCAACTCCTAGCAATCCAAACTCTTCCCTGACCCTTTCCAAAGAACCAGCTGGACTAAAGCACTACTTTTCATGACTGTACAGGATACTGCAACTGAACACTTGAACACTGAGGCTGTGAATAAAGGATGACCAAAAAAACAAGTATGCTTTCTTAGCCTGGACTTGTTTCTCATATACCCTAAAATAGGTATGGTCAGGTAATCAGACACAGCTTGTTCCAGTGTAAACAAGTAGTAACAAAGTATTTAACATTCCACAAATTTGGAAGTGCAAGAAAAGAAGTAATCATTTGGGCCAAATATTAAAAAAATGCACCAACACATTGAGACAGAAATAAACCTCAAGGACTTAAGAGTTTAACATTGTAGCTGCTATCTCTCTAAAAGCTGAAAGCACATTCAGCAAGTTTACTAAAAAGGACCTACTGGAGAACATCACCAGGCATAAAACCACATTCAGGTGGTCTGATATGTTTTTCTCTTAGATTTTGAAGTATTAATCATCTCATGTTCACCTCAAAGCAGATTTTAACTGGTAACATGTTAAAAAGCAGATGCCTTTGACATCTTCAGATCTCCAGAAAAGACTAGCTAGCAATTACTCTCATAGCTAAAGGATTTAACCGGAAAAAAAACTGCTCAAGATAACTCAAGTTACCAACAGGGACACAACAGACTGGCAAGTTGTTTCCCCTGCTGTATCCTTCAAGCAGGGACCCGAGTTTGGAATATCCAATCTACCATCTTTCAAAGTCAGTCCTCCATAAAGCATAGGGTAAAGGCAAGTTTTAGATAAGTTTTATTACATTTACTTCAGAATACAGTTTGAAGCACACAGATAGCCCCCCTACCCATCTATTCCACCAAGTGAAATTTGACTATTAAAAACCCCTAGTAATTTATTGACAAACTCTGTTCACATAGGGATAACTGTGTTTTATTTACAGTAGTATGACACACAGATTTGGTATTCATGTTGAACATTTACTTACCTAAACTTAGCTACAGTGGTTTTTCTCCCCCATGATTGTGTGTGTCACTAGATAGCAAGTTATTTTATGTTAGTTGGAATTTCTGCATTGATGACCAAAATACTTCCAGTTCAAACTAAGGTTAACAAGAAGACACTTGTAAACCATCAGTCTAATCTTGGAATTTTTCAGTTGCTGCCTTCTCATTCTCAGCTTTTTTCTGTAACTTCCCCATTAATTTCTTTTAATGGCAGCAGTAAAATTAGCATTTTGGTTATTTTAGTTCAATTCCAGACAACAGACTGTTTTAAAAACCATTCATGACCACTAGCAGTCTGTCTACAGTGTTACTTATGCAACTATACAAGAACTAACAATGCAGAATTGCATAAGGGCAGGTGCAAACATGAAAGGCTGTGCAAATCTAAGTAGTTATACTACTAACTTGTAAGAGCAGGTTAGTCCTGGCACCTGAACTACAAGTCAGTAGCAAAACTTTACTTCTGGGATAATTAATTTTTTATGTCATCTATTTATTTAATAATCAGATTGTTAACAGCATGGATTTTTAAAGTCTTGCATTAAGTATTAAAAATCACGTTTTTTGGCACTCACACATAACCAAGTTGATTTTTTTGGTGAAACTTAAAGTCTTAACATTTCAAAAACCAAATTAACACTGTGGAAACATTACATGACATTACAGAGCCAGTTACCACTTGCAATAATTTCTTAAATAAATGGAATTCATTTGCTTTATGCAGCATTTCAGAACTTCACAATTCAACATACTTCTCCACAAAAGACTGTTGAGTGAACTTAGGGAGTTACAGCTTAGGTAGCAGTTCAGTTATGGACGGCTCTAACTTGTTGAAAACATAATTCTTACATGTCAAAGGTAAAAGGGAGAGAGGTGTCATCTGAATTACAACCAGAAATGTAACCATATTGACAGAGCTATTAAAAGCATTCGCTGTGCACAGAAATTTATTTTAGAAGTGGCTTACACTTCACTACAGTCACATTTCTTAAATCTGAGAACTACCATCCCTGGATTCTATGCAGTAAGTTAAAATTACTTTCTTTGTATTCATTACATGTAATACACATCATGACATTTCAGGCTGTTTAGAACTACACCATTTAGTTCTGCATTCTGCATTATTTCAGATGATGCATAAAAGTATCCAAAAGTTGCACCTGTCAGACTGAACATCTTGTGCTTAAATTGGTACCAAAAAGAAAACTACCATGAGACACATTTTTAAACAGACCTTGTAAACTGAGGTTTTAGCAGTTTATAATTGTTCAGTCTTAGCAGCTTACAAAAACAATTCAATTTCTATTAACTGATGAAATGGGGAAGGAACTGGATATAGTAATAAAAAGTTCACTATTGGCCCAATATTGTAAAAGCAAGCCATGGATGTTAACAGTAGTGTCCTATTTTTTCATGCAAGTTGTGTTCAAGATATAAAATATGGGCAACACCATAATAAACATTTTTACTTAATACAAAAAAAGTGAATCTGCTTGAAAAGTACATGCAAGTGTGCTGGTTGGAATTTAAATAATGTTTACTTTTTAAAGGCTAGTGTGATCAATATTTATCTGTATGAATTATAATCAGAAGAAAACAACTCATCAACTTACTTTCTGACCAAAATTTTCCTAATTTTAGGATTGTCCTTAGGAAAAAAAAGCGCTACTTACAAGCACAGTAAAATTTCCTCAAAAGTAGCTGTAATCTGGTATAAGTATTCCAATCCCACAGACTTTCTTTCATACCATCATACATTCCAAAACTTGGAAGAAGTTGTGGGGATCCCCTTCTCCCTGGCCAACTTAATCTGTTCTTAAAAGAAACACTTTACTATCCTGTAACAGTTTTGAAATCCATTTTTATTTTTCAGTTCTGCCAGAACAAGTTTACTCTTGGATGGTCCAGGGGCTTGGTCCCAGGGGGGAGGAAGGGGAAGATGTTCCTGTACCTGATTATAACCCCCAACATTTATACACAAGCTCCAGTGCACATTAATAACTCTGCACCCACTTCTTAGTAGGCTGTTATTGTTCGCAAGCTCCAGGCTAATTCTTCCTACACGATGCTCCATTAAATGAAGTTCAAAGTTTTGTCTGCAGTTTGACATTTGGGGAAAAAATAGGGATACACACACATAGTAATACGGTAGACATCTCTACTGTACTATAAAATTGATACCTCCATCTGTCATAGTGCATGCAATATATTCATGAAAGAAAATACTCAGTGCTCTCTTCTCTTCACAGTATTTAAACTTCTATTGTAAAAGCAGCTTAAAACTATGCCACAAGACTACATCGTCCATCTTAACCACAGGCAACCTGTTTAGCAAGTCAGGCACTGGAACTTTAATGTTTTTCCCGAAGTTCAAATGAGGCTGTCGCTGAGACAGTAGACTTGGTCTGCTTTAATTTGCACCAGAAAGCTGGTAAGGAAACATCTAGAGCCATTTATTATATGGATTAAATATGTCATATTTTGCAAAATACAGCATATGCTTGTTTGCAAATCAAACCAACTGTCCTTACAAGAGCAGATTTACACAGTTGCAGTACACAGAAAGAGTTCATAAATAAAAATTCTACTCCGTATACCATGCCTAGCAATTGTCAAGTCAGTGTAACCTCCAATGCATATAAATAGCATGGCCGGTACAGTCTTCACCACAGATGTGTCTCACGGATCTCTGCAATGATCTGACTGGCTCGCTGCAGGGCCTGTGTACATGGGGACACAAAAGCCAGAGTCACTTTGTTTTTCTGAACAGATTTCTCAGAGACATAACAGCAGCAGTCTAGGAAGTAGGATGTTACAAATCAAAGCTAATGATTTTCATTAGGAAATGAGAGGTAACAACCTGCAACAACACTAACAATTCTGAAGCCTTCCATCTGCAGAAGGTTAGGCAAGTGGAAAATACTGCAAAGCAAAAGGTAATGGTACAACTTAGCAAAGGTGTAATTAAATAATGAGAGGTAAAAATTAAAAATTGAGAACAGAAGTTCCAGTCTGAAGCAAAAAGAGATCACTGTCATTGTTTTGAGCAACTTCTACATACACAGGTGTTCCTCATAACTCCGATGTTTGTCTTAACAATTTGTATTTATAAGTAAATTCTCAAGAAAGGCAGACTGTTTCACCAGTTTTAATGCTTTAAACTGTCCTCAAAATAAAAGGGGAACTGTACCTATTTCATAGAATCATTAAGGTTGGAAGGGGCCTTAAAGATCATCAAGTTCCAGCCCCCCTGCCATGAGCAGGGAACCCTACCACTAGACCAGGTTGCACAAAACCTCAGCCAACCCAGCCTTAAAAACCTCCAAGGCATCAACAACCTCCCTGGGCAACCCATTCCAGTTCCTCACCACCCTTATAGTGAAGAATTTCTTCCTAATGCCTAACCTAAATCTCCTCTCTCTCAGTTTAAAACCATTACCCTTTGTCCTATCACTATCTTCTCTGATGAAAAGCCCCTCCCCAGCTTTCCTGTAGGCCCCTTTCAAGTACTGGAAGGCCACTATAAGGTCTCCCCAGAGCCTTCTCTTCTCTAGGCTGAACAGCCCCAACTCTCAGACTGTCTTCATAGCAGAGGTGCTCCAGGCACCAGTGATATCTTCTATCACTTTTACAATTCTGATGCATTCACTTCAGTCTAAACTGCTAAACTTTGCAAATTTAAAAGCTCAGAACACTGATATTAACATTATTTAAAGTATTACTCCAATTTGGAGAAACCTGAGCTATGAGTTCGGCCCTACAAAGTTTACAGTTTGAAAAATTTCTAACAGATAGTTGCCCTTATTCAAATGATGATCACATAACAGCCAAGATTAAACTTGCTGCATGTGGTCTTGGACAAGTGGTATGTCAATGTATTCAGGTACCTCAAATGCACACTGACCACACTGCATATGAGAGAAGCAGCTCTTGCTACTTCTTTGGTGAGCTGAACTGGCAGAGGGACCCTTTTTTATGCAGGTCAATCCAAATCAGCCTATTTCTGTTGCAGCTACGGCAGACTGATACACCCCATAACTGAACAATGCAGACAGAGCTCTGTAACACAGGCATGTCACAAATGCACTGTCATGCAGGTGTATGCACAGGTCATCATGAGTCCCAACATTCCCACTTTTAACATGGGGTATTGTCTAGATACACCAGCCATTAGCCAGTAGGCTCCGGGGGACACATACACACGAATGGCACTTAAAACACTGTAAGCTTAATCCCCCAAAAGAGAACTGTGATAATACTGTAATGTTAAGTAACAGCAAATTATTAGAAACAAATATATCATTGAAAAGAACACCACATTAGCGCCTCTGCTTTACACTCAAAATGGAGTTAAGTCACCTCTTCCCAACTACTCAAGCTACATAACACCTTCTGGTCTCACACTGCTTTTAATTCCTCCAGTAGAGGGAAATAACATACTGGCATATTCTTAAAATTAAGCTAAGAGAAAAGAAAGGCAAGTCTTCAAAAAATCTCACATTTCTGTGGTTTTAATTTAATTAACTGCTCCCTTGAGTTCCTGATCTTTTGAATACCTTTAGCATATCAGCTGCCTCTTTTCTGCGCTGTGCCATGTCCTCAGACTCTGTCAGAAGGTCATCCAACAAGAGGGATTTATACAGCTGGCCGACCAGCTCGCTCTGCAGAGTGTCTTTCACATGGTTCACCAGAAAATGCATCACTGCCTTTGGCACACTGCAAGCATATAAAGATTGCTTCTTTAGAAAGAATCATTCACAAACATACATGTTCAAAATTGAGGATTGCACAGTGTGAACAAATGGCTACACATCACCTTGGTTCAAACTACCAGGAATTTACCACAACTATAAATAAAAACCTCTCTCTCTTAAGTAAATGCAGTATCTTGTGCAATTTAAGAGATGTTGAATGTCTTCCAAATAGGATACCTGCCTTTTAAAGGATGTTAATATATATAGTGTAAAAATGAAATAAGAATAAATTACTTTTCTCACCTCCACTGTGCTAGATATGACAAAAAGCTAAGTATTCATCCTAGGAATCAGTCTCAGAGTGTGAATGAGAAGGGAAAGTGGCAAACAAACAATTCCTATTTGGAATCTTAGAGATTAACTGAAAACAGGATCACTATTCAAATACTGGGTCATATTATCTCTGGTATCAGAGAGCATAACATGAGGGCAATTTAAAACTGCAAATGGAGTTCAAATGTGAAAAATACATGTCTCAAATACAGGCAGGTAGCAACCAACAAGAATCAAGAAGAATCTATCACAAAGACACCAAGAATGTGTAGAGCAACGTTTTTCAGTTCTATGTGAGGCTAAACACCTGAAATAAACCACTGTCTTAGCTCTGATTTTCATACCACTAAGCTTCCTGAAAAAAATTACAAATATTGAACCTGG